CACCTTCACAACACCAGCCTTTCTCTAAAAGCATCCCCTGTGCAGAGGGCCACCAGGACCATCCTCTTGCTTATGAGCTTCTTTGTGCTCATGTACTGTTTGGACAGCATCTTCTCCTCCTCAAGAACTATGTGGAGCAATGATCCTGTCTGTTATTATATCCATTTGATGGTGGCCAATGGCTATGCCACAACATGCCCTTGGCTGCTAATCCGTAATGAAAAACAAATTATTAACTTCTGGAAATCTTTCTTGGTGAAGATGGAACATATTTAACTACTGATGATAGATAAGTTTCCCTAATCTGCCAATACACTGGCTTTTGAACAATTAAATCACAGCATAGAATGTATGCTCTCTGGATTAAGAGACTATGGGCATATGCATGTTGGGTTAAATGTGTTACTTTGAGACATGTGAATAACAAATATATTATAGAAATGTCAATGTCATACCTTTTTGAAATAAAACACGGACCCAATTTATTTGCTTGGTGTAAGCTAGAAATTCTTATGAGTCTCACCTTCATGATCTGGGTTATCTATTATAAACACATTAAGAGTGTATATCACTTTTTAATAAGTGCTTAAATGAGCTGTATTGTTTCTAACAAAAATGTCAATAATTTGTGCCAAGAATTACTGCCTTTTCTATCAACTTTTATTCTATTGTCTGTTAAAAAGAATTGAATGTAAGGACTTAAATTATCATAGGTACACCAGTGCTCGTAGTAGCATTATTAATGACAAACCCTGGTGGAAACATCAATGCCCCAAATCATAGGAATGTATAAGTAAAACATAGCCTGTAAATATCATGGAATATAATTTATCCTGGAACCAAAAAAAAAAAATGCCTGAGGTAGTAATTAGTGAACTTTGAAGACATTATGGCAAGTGACCTATCAGTCACAAATTATCCAATGCTGTAATATTTTAATGTAGAAAGTGGAACTGAGAGTAGAAACCTGTATAGACATAAAATAGAATGATAGTTACCAGGGTCTGAGAAAGGGAGTCAGTGGGGTGTTCTAATTGGACAGTAACACAATAGTTTGAGATGAAAAAGTGCTAGAGATGGCTTATGAATGTTTTCACAACAGTATGAATGTGCTGGCTGAGTCTGACCTGCACTTTTAGAGAGCATCACAAAGTTCAAGCACAAGAATGGGTCCCAAATTGAAATGGGTGGCACCTCATATATGTATGTCATACAACTTATTGCCGTGCATATCTAAAGCAACAAATAAAACAAAGCTTTTGGAATAAAAAAAAAAAACCGAAAGGATCAAAATGGTAAATTTTCTGTCATGCGCACTTTACCATAACCAAAGTTGCCCAATGACCTTCTATATATTAAGTCAAATATACCCATTACAGAAGGACAGACACCACATGTTTTCATTCATTTGTAGGAAACAATAAGTGGTTCTAGTAGAACAGAATGGAATGGTGGTCACCAGAAAATGGGAGAGCAGGGAGAGGACAAGTGGAAAGAATTCATGGAGCGGTATAAAAACAGAATGGAGAAATCACTTGTGTTAATAACTTTGGTACAGTAGGGGCACTATTGGTTAAAACAACTTAAAATGTGCAACTTAAAATTAAATTGAAAAACTTAAAATTAAATTAAAATTCCAAAAACAACAAAATAACAGCTGAAGAGATTAAAATGCTTATTACTATGGTCTGATTTTACAACTTACATACATGTACTGAGTTATCATAATGTACCCTGAAAAATTCATATATAAAAATATATCCTTGGCCCTCCTGGGGTCCCCGGGAGCCGCGGCCCGCTGTGCTCGGGCGCCTCGGCAGCAGC